GGGAGGGGAGGGGAGGGGAGGGGAGGGAAGGGAAGGGGAGGGGGAGAGGAGGGGGAAAGAGGAAGAAAAGGCAGTAGTTTTAAAACTAAGGTAACATAGGCTGAGGTTGTAGCTCAATGACAGACTCTTGCCTAGCATAGGTTAATGAGGCCCTAGGTTAATTCCCCATTATTGCCCCCCCCCAAAAAAAGGAAGATGGGCTACAGATATAAATTTTCTATTTCCAACTCCAATCATGTAAAGCAGAATTTCCTGGATGATACACAAAAAGTAATGAACTGTAAGTGTTGCTCTGAACCTCATACTTCAAACTTATGCATTTCTCTAACAGCATTTTTTTTCTCAGTGGCAACTTTATGAGTTAAATGTATTGGGGTCTGCACAGCTTTTGGATTTGATTATGTTCAATTCTAAAATCCTCATTCTATACTGTTAGTAACAGGAGAAAATCAACTAAAATTAAAATAAAAATTTACTAAGCATGGAGTGCAGGCAATCTCTTTCCTAATGAGAGATATTACAGAAAGAGAATCACTGTCTGTCTGTCTGTCTGTCTGTCTGTCTCTTTCTCCCCCCCACTCTCGTTACCATTGTGGTAGTTCACACATGTAATTCCAGCACTCAGACTTGATAATAGTCTGAGCCTTTCCTTATAGTCATAAAAACACACAGAAGTGAATATGCCTAATATTTCCTGTAAGAAGTCCCTTTAACATCATAAACGACGTAGTTAATGGCAACTACGTGAAATGGGACAGATATCAATGCATAAAGAGACAAAATTAAAACTATACCACAACTTTTAACAACAATTTAATATATAATACCAGAGCATCTTATTAAAGGCAAAGATTTACTCTGTCACAACAGTACTGTTTGTATACTTCTATAACTCAAACAAGCAAAACAGAGTAAAAGCCTACAAAATGATTCCAGTTATACAAATCTATGATCTGACAAGTTCATATCCATGCAAGCTGGAAATGGCTTTTGTTTTTTTCGTTTTTTTTCGAGACAAGTTTTCTCTGTGTAGTTTTGGTGCCTGTCCTAGAACTCGCTCTGTAGACCAGGCTGGCCTCGAACTCACAGAGATCTGCCTGGCTCTGCCTCCCGAGTGCTGGGATTAAAGGCATACTGCCCAGGCCTTTTGTTTTTTTTTTTTTTTTTTGGGGGGGGGGGCAAACTGGAAATGTTTTTATGTCAGCTTCTGTGGAATACCAAAGAACTGACTCAGCAAATGAGGGACACAAAGTCAGGCCATGTCAAGTGGCGCATACTTACGATCCTAGAACTAGGACGGAGGCAAGAGAACTGCTGCAAGTTCTAGGCCAGCCTGAGCTACATAGCAAGACTCCCTCTCTCTCTCCCTCTCTCTCCCCCCCTCCCCCCCCCCCCCCCCCCCCCCCCCCCCCCCCCCCTCTCTCTCTCTCTCTCTCTCTCTCTCTCTCTCACACACACACACACACAAAGCGAAACAATAAAAACACAACAACTAAGAAAAAGTGGGGAAGGTAAGTCAATCCACTTGAAAGGTCCTGTAGTGTAGTATCTGAATGGCTTAATTCCTAAAAAGAGCTTCACTCTCAGGTTTATATTCAAGCCAGGCATAGTGGTAAACACCTGCAATTCCAGCATCCCAGCACTTGGAATGCTGAGTTCAGGGTCAGCTTGGTCTACAAAGTGAGTTCCAGGACTATATAGTAAAAACCTCATCTCAAATAATAGTAATAGTAATAATAATAATGTTTCTTACAAAATTTTCAGACTAATCTGGACATATACTGCAAAAAATGATACAAACAACCTCTACTGGTTTTGATGAGGTAGTAAAAAAACATCTAAATGAAGCAGGCCATAGTGGCACATACCTGTAACACCACCAACTAGGAAACACAGGCAGAAAGAATAGCCCAAGGACATCCAGTGCTACAATGAATTCAAGGCCAACCTGGGCCATAATTCCAGTCAAAATTAATTAAATAAAGAAATAAGTACAAGTTAAGCATGGGTGTGGTCCCCCCCCTTCTTTCCCCCAAGACAGGGTTTCTCTGTGCAGCCCTACTTATGCTGGAACCCACTCTGTAGACCATACTGGCCTCAAACTCTTGCCTTTTTAGTGCTTGGACTAAAGGTATGTGCCACCAACACCTGGCATTCTCTTATTTTTTAAAAAGAAAGAATTCAACAGGATTCAAGCACTTTTTATGTTTCTACTTCCAGGCAGGAAAAGATCATTTCTGACTCAGTTTCAAATGTGAGATGTCATGAGAACCTTAAAGTAAAGTTTGGTTGCTAATGTTGGGCTCCATCATCAATCACACTGCTTAAGTTCAGACCTTGCTTTACTAAATATTACCCCATATCTTTCTATGCCTATTTCCTCCTCTGCAAAATTAGGAATGAAAACAGTATTCAAAAGGAAAAAATATTAGCTAGCTAGCTATACTACCAAGTTCTCCAGTGAATTAAATTACTTAAAACACATTTTAAAAAATTGTTTAACACTGGGTTGGAGAGATAGCTCATCAGTTCAAAGAGAGCACTTGTTCTTGCAGAGGACCCAAGTTCAGTTTCCAGCACTCCCACAATGGCTTACAACCATCTCCAGTTCCCAGAGAATCCAATACCCTCTTCGGATATACTTGGTCACCAGATACATGTATTGTGCACATACATTCCATGCAAGCAAAATACTCATATACATAAAAAAATAAAAATAAAAGAGAACCACAAGCACCAATACTAATATAACAACACACCTTTGCAAGTCTACCAATTACAGCACGAGCTGTCCTGGGCTCAAAAAGGACGTTGGAGACTAGGGCGCAGCTCAGGTGGTAGAGTGCTTGCCAGCATGCAGGAAGGACTGCGTTTGATTCCCAGCACCACATAAACCTGGCAAGAGGGCACATACCTGTAATTCTAGCACTTAGGAAGTTGAGACAGAGGGATCAAGTTCAAAATCATCTCCTACTCTATACAACAAACGTTCAAGGTCAACCTGGGAGACATTAGATCCTGTCTCAAAGTAAGTGACAGATCTGGCAAGATGGCTGAATGGATAGAGGTGCTTACTGGCTGAGCCTAACCACATGAGTTGGTTCCACGGAACCCAGTAAGCCTCGAAGAGTAGAACCAACTCCAAAACCTGTCCTGACCTACACACTGTTGCTGTGGCATGTGCACCCACACATCAGGTACTCACACACAATAAAAAAAAAATTTAGCAATTAAAAGAAGAGTAACTTAATGGAAGCTTTATCAACACCGGAGATGAAAAACTAAGCAGAGACTACACAGCTCTGAGCAGCAGCTACTTGGTGAGGTGAAACAGAAGGTACTGAAGGAACAGATATTCTGTCCTTTCTTAACCAAAGACATGAAAAGATCCAGAAACGCATCCACTGTTAAGGTTCAAATTTTGTCATTTAGATCAGACATAAAAAGTTAAGCAGCTCCCTCTAGTTTTTCAATACCTTAGACCAATTAACCATTATGACAAGAAAAATGTCAAAAAATGGTTGCGTGCACTTCAAACAAAATAACGTTAATTCCCACTTTGCAACTCTAGAGGGCACCAGAAATATGCCCTCCTTCACAACACCCCTCCTCCCCGGTAACGTGAGCAGCTGCAGAAGCCCGTCGTCTGGTTGCTGAGGTTGGTATTGCAGCAGCAGAAGCGATGTCTGCAGCGGTGGAAACAGCAGCGCCCACTCCCAGCTGCCTCACCAGGCATCACTCGGGCTTCTCCCCGGGAGCAGCTGCCACCCAAGCGAAGGCTCCTCCCCCTGAAAACAACCAGGAGGGCCAAGTCCCATAGCTGAACCCCTATAACCTGACGATGCCCTCTGTATTAAGCAACAAATTGGATGCAAAGGACTCACAATGGGGGTGTTTTCCTCACTTTCTGCCAAAGATGCACCAGATAGGGTTGAACGAAATTTCTGGTCCTGGTATAAGAGAAAAAAAAGGAAAAGAAAAAAAATGGATGAACACCCAATCTGGTAGGAGCACCAAACCTATTTCACCAGGAGGAGGCAGAAAAGGGACTAAGAGGTCAAGGAGGTTCGGCCCTTCTATTATTACCCTCAGCCCACGCAAAACAGCCCACTCCTATGCAAGTGGAGCGAAATATTTATTTGGGGCTAAAACCTACGTGAAGCCACAATCTGCAGGGGAAGGGACCAGAGGGCATCAAGCCTACTCCTGGGAAGGGGAGGGGGGGGAAGGGCAAACATTGCCCCGACGCCAGCAAGGGGCTTGCACTCCCTCTCAAATCCTACCACCCACCGTCATTCCAGTCAAACTCGGCATCAATTTACAGGTAAGAAAACAGTTCACGTCTGCGCTGGGCTGATATTGCCCATATTTGCCCCAAGCAGTTGCCCTGGGCCCGAGGTTTGCCCCCCCCTGCAGTCCGCGACCGGCAGCGCTGCCTCCCCGTCCGCCATTAGAGACCCAGCCAAACAATACGTGAGGAGCAAGAGCCGCGCAGCACAGCGCCGGGGAGGAGACCAGCGACGAAGAGGACCCGGCGAGACTCAGGCGGCGCCCCTCGCCTTCGAAAACTTGGGGTCTCGGTCAGGCAGACCGGGTGGGAGTGCGGCCCCCAGGCGGGAGGGCCCAAGGGCCCCTCCCCGGCCCGCCCGCCCGCCCGCCCGCAG